AAGTGCATTTCAAAGAGAGTAGTTTTGGAAATTTGAGTGTTTATACATTAAAAATCTATTTTTAAAGTAAATAATAATTCTTACTTTTTTTCTGTAATTTTAGTTATACTCTTTAAGTTAAAACGACTTTATGTATAGAATTACTTCTTTTTTTTTTTCTTGAGACAGGGCCTCATTTCATCACTCAGGCTGGAGTGCAGTGGCACCCTCTCAGCTCACTGCAACCTCCACCTCCTGGGCTCAAGTGATTCTCCCACCTCAGCCTTAGAGTAGCTGGGACCACAGGTGTGCACCAACGTGCCCTGCTATTTTTCTTTTTTGTATGTTTTGTAGAGAAGGGGATTTGCTATGTTGCCCAGGTTGGTCTCGAACTCCTGGGCTCAAGCAGTCCACCCACCTCAGCCTCCCAAAGTGCTGGGATTACAGGTGTGAGCCACAGTGCCTGGCCCCCATTCCTTAATATTCAACTAACAGTGGGCAAAAATCTGTAATAAGACATATTTGGAGAGATGGGCATTGATTTCTTCAAGTCATTTCTACTTTTATTTATGTCCTACGATTTATTGAAAATACATAGTCTTAGTTATCATATTCTTATAAACGTCCCCCCCAAGGTGTAGTTTAATGTTACAGATGACCTATTGTCCTGTAGTCCTTACAAATCTTTAATGTTACCCAAACCAATCAAGCAGCCTGAAACACCAGAAATCATCCTTTCTAAATAGAGGTAAACATGTCATCTGAATGAAAGGAAAGATTCTTCGGTGCATCAACTTTTTGGGTTTCTCACAGCATTCCTTTTTTCCTTATATTGAAGATGTTGATATGTACCAGTGAGGTATATTTATATCTATTATGTATATAGTGTGTATATACATAGCATGCATGTATGTGCATTATATATGCACATATTTGTTTATATAGTATATATATACACATATAATCTATGTAGAGATATAGATATAGCATATCTATATACACTCATTCACTGGTATATATCAGTAAGAATTTTCAATATAAGGAAAAAAGTGATGTAGATATATATACATAGTATACATATATATACTATGTGGTATATAGATAGAAAAAATGATGTAGCTATATTACATATACATAGTATACATATATACTATATATGTATATATACATACTATGTAAACAGATATATGTATATATAGTTTCTATACATTTGTATTATATACATATTATATATATAATATATAATTGTGTATACATATAATATACACAATATAATATATATTATATATATAATTATATATATAATATATATTATACATAATATATACATTATATTATATAACAATTTTGCAGATGCATATTACATGCAATGTATATGCATAGTGTATATTATATACATGATATATAGCCTATCTGTTATACACACTATATATACATAGTATATATACATTATACACATAGTATATACCATATGTACATACTATATTATGTAATATAGTATATATTATATGTATAGTACATACTATGTATATATACATAGTATAATATATAGTGTGTATATATACATTATATATGATATATACATAAGGTACACATAATGTGTGTGTATATATATTATGTATATATCAAGCAAATCACTTGATACTTGTGATTCACCTTTCTGAATCCCCAAATCCACACCTATGGATTCCAACTCACCTTTTTGTGGAAAGTCACTTGTCAACCAAATACAAAAACCTTACATTCCATATCAGAAACCAACTTTCAAGATTTCCATAGGCCTGGACACTTTTTATATATCAAAACAATCATTTTTTAAAAATTATTTTATGGAGGTAAGGACATTCATGATGGTGAATAGAGAATAACAAAGGCCAAATGAGAGGCCCGTATGGAGTGGACTGGGTGAGTCACGTAGGCTTGCCACTTGTCACAAGCTTGGGAGCAGCGTCTGGATGTCAACTTGAGTTTATGTTTCAATTCCTGGCCTCAGCTGTATTTCAAATTACTGCATGGCATAGATCTTTAGGGTTGCAAGTCAAACCCGCAAATGTTAAATTACCAAATGCACACTTTTCCAGTAGTGGTTCTATGGCTAATAATACTAAGGAATCATGTTCTTGTCAGGTTTCTTTATCTCTCAAGGATAAGCAAGATAATTCATATCTTACCCACCCAAGTCTTAAGTTAGAAAACGGTGGTAAATTTCCCTACTGTCAGATTTTAACACTGGGCTCAGAATTCCCATTGCAAATTTACACTTGGTTTTCCAATTAAAATGGGCTTTTGTGAGTCCCCTGCTGATAGCCATTGGCTTGATAAAAAGTAACTTCATTTGCAGCAAGGGTGTTTAGGGAACCCAGTGCAAGGCTGACTCTTCTGCTGTTGCCTTGAGCCCAGCTGTGCTGAAATATTAAACTTTAGTAAATTAGGTGAAATTGCAGCTTCCTGGCTGATACAATAATGCCTTTTTCTTTTTCTGCAAACCATGTTCAGCATTAGTTTTCTGCACAATTTTCTGCACTGAGATAAAAATTGGAATATCTTTCAAATCCAGGCAGTTCTTCATTTTCTAGACAATTGTGCCATATTCCACTTATTTAACAGAGGGCTTGAACTTTCAAATATGTAGAATTAGATTACTACATTATTTTATCACTCCTTGAATATGCCATTACTTTATTATGTCATACTCATCTGAAGGAAATGAATCTCTGTAAATGTTCGTCTTATATAAAAGTAGAAACCTATTTTTATTCTTGATTAGTACATATATTAACAGCAATGATGAGCTATAGGATGAAATCATATTCCTAGTCACACTTATTTTTAGTTTTTTTGCTCCATTTTCTCTTTAAAAATGACACTAGATCTTATGTGTTTTTATTAATTGACCAAACATTTATTGATCAGTTACTATGTGCAAACTTCTGCTTTGTATTCAACCAAATGTTTTTAGAGTAAATCCAGAATTAGCAGAGAGAGATGAGGGACACTTGTATCTCTTTTCTTGACATGTATTTTCTTGCAATGGAATCTCTGGTGACAGCTTTATTTAGCTGTCTGGCCTGGTTGCTCCGAAATGGCTCTCACTTTGACCTCTTCCAGGTGAAGATCAGAGAAGTCAGCTGAAATACAGTATTTTTGTTGCTTGGGAAAATGAACTTATCAAAGCCTTTTCAAAATTGAAGTCATTTCAAAAGATCTTATCAAGGTACTCCCAAGATGGTGGAATCCAAGAGTTGCATTTGGAAAAATCTCAAATCTATACAAAATTAAGAGTGAATAGTCTTATAAGCCCACATCTAACCACAATGGAATTAAAACCTAGGGAAGTGGCTAAGTGGGGGCTTGGGCAGTCAGGATAGTTTAGGGTATAAAGAATTGAGACTCACTTCTAAATAAATAATTGGAGAGCCAGTCTGTTTCATAGCATCATTGGATCACTCTCCTGCAATAGATGAGATACCTATAAATGAGATACTAACCAATATGATCTAGACTGTGGTTTCGTTCTGGTGGCCACAAGAAGAATACCATAGGCTAGGTGACCAAAAGAACAGAAATTTATTTTTCACAGTTCTGGAGGGTAAGAAGCCCAAGATCAGTATGCCAGCATGGTCAGGTTCTGCTGAGAGTCCTCTTCCTGCTTGGCAGAAAGCTGTCCTCTTGCTGTGTCTTTACACTGCACAGGGCAGAGAGAGGAGGCAAATTCTCTGTGGCCTGCTCTTATGAGGGAACTAATTCCACCAGGAAGCCTCCACCCCCTGAACTAATCAGGTACCAAAGGCCCCAGCTCCAAATACCACCACATCTCATTGGGGATTAGGGTTTCAACATACGAATTTTATAGAGACACAAACATTCAACCCATAGTAATGGTAAAAGAAAAACATCAGACAAATTAAATTTAGCACAATTTATTTTAGCAAAGGATTCATGAATTGGGCAGCACTCACAACCGGAGGAGGGCCAGTGAGTTCCACCCAGTGCTGTGAGCAACAAAGCCTGATAGGCCAAAGTCGGAAGCACAGCAGAGAAATTGATTGGCTATAGCCATGCAGGCTGCTATATTGGGCCTGATGTAATGAGTTGGCTGCATGTGATTGGCCAGGAGCCCCCTGTTTATTACAGCCTAAGGTAGGTTTCCATTGTTAGGTGGGGACTCAATGTAGAGACAGCCTTAAGCTAATGTCCTCTTGCTTATTTAAGAGCAGTATGCAAACGTTTTCTGGAAAGCTTCGAATGGCAAATATTTCAGGCTTTACGGGTTATGCCACCTCTGTCACCACTACTCAATTCTGCCCTCGCAGCCCTAGATCATACAGCTGTATACAGACATGGATAATACAAAGTCATGGGCATGGAGGTTTTCCAATAAAACTGCTTGCAAACACAGGCAGGGGCTAAATCGGCCTGCGGGTAGTCATGTGCTCACGCCTAAAAGTCTCCTACTCCCTGATACCGGTTGGCTGCCCTCTGAATCTAGGTGAAGTAAGCACAGGTTACTGCTTCTGTTCAGTGTCATGATCCACCCAGCAATTCCCCAGTCCCCAGCTTTCTTCATGCGTGGGAGGATCTGGCCGAGCGACTGCACAGTTTTGAAAGTTTTTGAAGCGGCCCGTTTCTCCCCTCGTCTTTGCAGGCAGAGTTGTAGTGTGGCTGGGTGGGCTGCGTGGGCTTCCGGAGGACGCGCGGGCACTTGGGGCGAGGCGAGGGCGCAGAAAAGTTGGAGCCCAATCAGCACGGAGTTGAGCTTCCGCGCCCCAACCTTCAGGTGACCCCGCGCGGCGGCGGCGGTAGCAGCAGTGGCGGCGGCGACCGGAGCCCGCAGCAGCTCGAAGCGCCTCCGGGAGGACAGGCGGCGAGCTCGGCGAATCGTCATCTGCCAGCCGAGCGCGGAGCTCCGCGGGCCAGGGTCCGGGTGGGAGCCCGGAGCGAGCCCGGACGCGGCTTCTGCCTCCGCCCGCCGCGGAGATTCCGCCCACTGGGCTGGGGGCGCCACTCGCCGCCGCCTGTGAACGTTGTGGGTGCGCGGGGCTGCGGCCACGGCGGCAGTGGCGGCAGCGGCGGGAGCCGCGAGTCGGGGCCGCCCGGGCTGCGCTTCGCCCAGGCAGCAGCGGCGGCGGAGGCGCCTGTGGCTCAGGATGCGGCCGGGGGGCGCGCTGCTCGCCCTGCTCCCTAGCCTGCTGCTGCTGCTTCTGCTGCGCCTGCTCTGGTGCCCGGCAGACGCGCCCGCCCGCGCCAGGTAACCCTCCTGCCCGCCGCGCCCAGCGAACCGCGCGCCGGGCGTCCCCGGACCCCCAAGCCGCTCATTGCCTCTGCTTGGACGCGGAGACTTTTGGCCGCGGCGGGGAGCAGCCGACAGGCGGCGACGGCCTGAGAGAGGAGTGGGGGAGGGGGTCGCAGGGAGGCGACCCTTGGAGCGGTGGGCAGCGCCTGGGGAGCAGAGGGACCGGTCAGGGCTGCGGGGGCTCCAGCGCTTATCGCTGTCGGCTAGGCAGCTGCGGAGCGGGACCTGCCGTCGGGTTCCCCGTCAGGATCCCGGGCTCCCCATTCTGGTCCTTGCTGTCTCTTCCTTCCCGCCCTAAGGCTCTTCCAACTCTGGGGTTGGGGATCTGGACGGGGAGCCGGGGAGCGCGATATCTCCCCGCCAGGCTTGGAGCGCTACGCCCAGCCTGTCAGCTACCGGCTCCCGGCGGGGCGTAGCAACTTAAGTTTTCTCCCCGGCTGTGCAGGATCGTGGTGGAGGAAAGCAGGGAAGCCACCCACGGCACTCCCGCAGCGCTGAGGACGCTCCGGAGCCCGGCGACCGCGGTACCGCGCGCCACGAACAGGTACAGCGGGCTCCCAGTGCGGGCCGACTGGGGCTCAGGGGCTGCGAGCCGGGCGCGGGGCGTGGCTGCACCGGCTTGGACTCGCTTGGAGTGGGCAGGCTGGGACGACGCGATTAAGCTCGAGTGTGTGCGTGTTTGGAGAGGGCTGGGGTGGGGGGGGTGCTGCACTCTTCACACTCTCTCAATTCTCTGAGCCTTTCCTTCGATGTGGATGGCTTTTGAATCAAGGGGGAATCATCCAACAGCTGCATTTGAAAAATGGGTGCTGAGTTTCCCTCTCCACGACGGTGTGTTGAAAATCCCCCGAGAGAGGCAGCTCAGCCTGTCTTTACGGAGGGATTTGGTTGGTTTGCTTTTTGTTTTCAATGCTTTAAAGTGCACCCGTGTTAAGATTCAGGTTTGTTCTGTGTGCTAGGAATGCTTTTGCCCTTAGTGATTGGAGGCTTGTTTTTCTTATCCTTCATTTGTGTGTTTATTCATAGGCAGTCATTGTTTTTGTTTCAGATTGTAAAAGTAATACGGCTTTGTGCAGAAAGTTAGAAAATAGAACTGTATAAAAGAAAATGTTACTCGTTCAGAGTCCTTACCTCTCAGAGACCATATTCAGGTTGGTTTTGGTCTGTATTTCTTCCAATAGTCTTTTCTACATACATATGTTTGAAAGATAGAGCTGAGATTATACATTGTAGTTTATGTTCTTTTTTTGTAAAAAAAAAAAAGCATAGACCTACACCTGTCATTACATTTCCCTCCCCCCACAGAAACATTGCTTTGGATTGTTCCATAATTTATCATCTGAACGTGCCATAATCTATTTAACAGTTTCCATTTTCAAACATTTAGGTTACTTTTTGTTTTTGTTTCATTTTGTTTGCCATCAGTAATTCTATGAAGTGCATCCTTGTATGTAAATCTTTATCTTCGTTTCAAATTAATTGCCCAGGACGGACTGATAGAAGTTGGGATTATTAAGTCAAAGAGTATGCACTCTTTACGTTCTAAGTCACATTGTCAGTTGCTTCCTCAAAGGGTTGAATCAATTTACATATTCACAAGCAGAATGTACTGCTTTCTGCCTTAGCATTGCTATTATGATTGCAATCTTCCATAAGGTCTCTTTTCCTCTTTTTATCTCTTGCAAATCCTTTTTCTTCTGTGCATGCTTCTCTATATTCTTGGCTCTTGGATCCACCTTAATCTTCTGATGGTACGACTCCAGGTAGCTCCAGCAAGGCTCTAAAGTAGGGTCTGGAAATGGCTGGAAGAAACCCTGAAGTGAGGAACACCATGGCTGCCACCCCTTCAGTGCAATTTCACAGCAGATTAGAGGCACTGGGACCTCCTGAAGTAACAAAAGCTTTTGAGAAAAATAGTGTCCTATAGTTTCATTCTACTCAGGTTGGTGTACTATAGGTAGCCTAGCTTTCTTGATGAACTGGGAAGCATTCCATCTTTTCCCAAGTCCCGTGGCTATTGCCAGTTCTAAGGTTGCCCCTTTGGGAAAGTTTGAAAGAATGTACTCATTAAATGATTTGATCTCAGGTCGTTTTTAGAAGTGATTCTGTGACGAATTTTTCAGTTTCTTTTGACATGCTTCTTTTCTACTTGGCATACTTCTTGGGCTAATATACCTAACTCATAATTCTGAACAAGGCCCATTTTATTAAGCATTTAAAAATTTATACTATTCTTCCGTGTTTGTAAAAGCCTCTTTGTCTTTTGACAATGATGTCCCCTTTATCATTTATGATTTTGATTATTTATGGAGGAGCGGTGCAAATTTTAACCCACCATACTCCTTGGTTGTATAGAGAAATTGTAATCCCTTCATTTTTCTGGAGCTGGTCTGACATTTCCCATGAGCTCCACGGCAATGATGCTGATAGCAACAAGGAGAGCCAACGCTGAATGAACTCTTCTTATGGGGCAGACACTGATCTAAGCGCTTAACATTTTTAATTTAAAATTTTTTTGAAATAGGTTTGGGGGTAAAGTGCATTTTTGTTACATGGATATATTGCCTAAGGGTGAAGTTGGCATTTTAGTGAAACCATCACCCAAACAGGGTGTATTCATTATACCCAATGGATAATTTCTCAGCTCTCACCTAACTCTCCCACCTCTGTCTCCAGTGTTCAGTATTCCACAGTCTGTGTCTATGTGTACCCAGATTGAGCTCCTATTTACAAAAAAAAATGTGGTATTTGATTTTCTGTTTCTGAGTTATTTCATTTAAAAGAATGGCCTCCAGTGCCATCCCTGTTGCTGCCAAAGACGTTAAATCCTTCTTTTCTTATGACCGAGTTGTAGTATGTGGTATGTATATATGCCACATTTTCTCTATCCAGTCCTCTGTTAGGAGACACTTAGGTTGATTCTATGACTTTGCTATTGGGAATAAGCACTTTTCCTTTAATTCATTTAATCCTTAAAAATACTAAGAGAAACTATTGTTACCCTAATTTTTATAGATGAGGGAATTGAAGCAAAAAGATTAAGTACATTGTCCACAATCACAGAGTTAACACATTGTGGAGTCTGGAGTGAAAGCCAGGCCAGGGGAATGCAGAATCCCACACATGTAATCTCCCACTGTGTTGCCTGTCATAGGTGCTGGGAAAGATGGGGTGTGTGTATGTGTGTGTGTGTGTGTGTGCGCGTGTGTGTTCAAAACGTTCGATCCAGGTGAAAGCTTAGATGTGACAATTTAAGACACTCTTTCTGGCAATATTTATTCTTTCTGAGAACAAATGCCAAGGCTCTCAGATTGCTTCTACCCTCTCTTCTCACTTTAAGATGCCATCCAAGTAGGCTGGGCGCAGTGGCACATGCCTGTAACCCCAGCACTTTGGGAGGCAGAGGCGGGCAGATCACTTGAAGTCAGGAGTTTGACACCAGCCTGGCTAACGTGGTGAAACCCTGTCTCTACTAAAGGATACAAAAATTAGCTGGGCGTGGGGGCATGCACCTGTAGTCCCAGCTACTCAGGAGGCTGAGATGCGAGAATCGCTTGAACCCATGAAGGGGAGGTTGCAGTGAGCCAAGATTGTGACACTGGACTGCAGCCTGGGTGGCCAGCCAAGACTCTGTCTCAAAAGAAGAAAAAAAAATGACATTCAGGTATATTAGGGAGGGCACCTTAGGTGATGCAGTGGTCAAGTCAAGGGTTGGAGCTCGTGATCACAGTTTCTTTTCATTCTAATCTACAGGGTGACGTTCATCCTTTTCCATCTGGTGGCCAGGCACCCTGTTGAGAGTCAGTGATAAGACCTGCAGCTTGTGGCTCTTTCTTTTCCCTCAGGTGTTGCACCTGGTGGTGCTCCTGGCTGTCTTGGCCTCACCTGAGATCCTGCTGATGTTACCTTTCAGGAATCTGGCAAAGATTCTCTTTTGGTCCTATCTTGGGTTGTCTCTCTGTGACATTTGCTATGATGCCACTCACTCAGCTGTTGCTAGCTAGCTTCACAGCCAGCCCCTCACCTATTTCTGGGCCTCATCTAAACATATAAGAACCAAAATTAGTTCAGAAAACTAAATATCAGGGCCTCCCTCTGCTTGCTCCACCAAGTAGATGTGACCCTACTCTTGTTTATCTCAGGGTGGGGCATTGCCCAAGAAGTGATGTATTTCAAAATCCTAATTGAAGGAGGAAGCAAAGCCCTTCTGTCCTTGTTATTACTCTTGCCACTAGCTTTTTATTGCCCCCATCCTTCTCCCTCTACAAGCCAAAACTTCTTCTTTTTTTCTCTTCTCCCCGTATTGACTCAATTACAGAAATGCGCAGGCTTCCCTCTTCTGTTTCATATTCCATTTGCCCTGATGCAAACCTCCAGGTCTAACTCAAATTCAAGCCTTAATGATAAATTGTTGGGACCAGAGGAAAAAGTTTGGGAATGTTCAAGGAGCTGTGTCTTCCAGGTAAGATGGTTAATGTACTAAAGTGGGAGAATGAAAAGAATTTGGAATATATTCTCTTACGGCTGCAGAAAATTCTATTTTACTTGTCTAAAGTGGATTGTTACCTTATTTTCTCTCTTTGCATTCTTTCAGGAAAATGTCTTAATCTCTCCTTCCTCCCTGCAAAGATGTTTCAAGTTGACTAGGGGAAGGTCAAATACTCAGAAAGTCAAAAGAGAAAAATAAACTACCAGTTTTCAAAATATAAATCCATTACAATGGATCCTTTCTTTTGCTAATAAGTTTTGGGTTTTCAGTGGTTTGCTTGTTTTTTAAATAACTAGCTCTTGGATTTATGTCTCAATTTATATATATATATTTCCATGTTCTATTTCCTTTGTGTTACTTTTATCTTTGAAAATATTCTATTTTTTCAACTTAATGTCTTGAAATGAATACTTGACTTATTTATGTTATTCTTTCTTTTTTTTGTAACAAAAATATTTTAATACTATGAATTTTCTATTGAATGTAGCTTTGGACTCATTTCTTCAGTTTCTATATGTAATGTTTAGATTTTTAAAAATACATCTAAATTTTATATAATCATTAGAATGAGGGGTTGAAGTGTTGTGAGATTAATGAAATGGTCAGCACAAGCTTGTGTAACTAGCTAATTTGGAGTTCCATGGGAACATCCACGTCTCGGCTATGATTTGGCACCTTTTGGTGGCAGCTGTCCATTTTGGCTTTAAACATCTGTGGTGATGATTTGGGATTGTGTGGCAGCCTGTGACTTCCTGGACAGCAGCTGCTGTTATTCTTTGAATGTCCTGGTTTGTTGGTGTCTGTTTCCTTGATCCATCTGGGATTATTGAACCAGGGGTTTACCAGAGATAGGGGACCTCACCTTCACATCTCTGTTTTTCTAGAGAGGTTCACCTGCTATTTCTCTTAGTGGCCTTTCTCTCCCTTTCCTGTGGTCTTTTTTATCTGCAGAAGGACTTTGGCTTGCCCGTACTTGCTAATTGCTAAAGCTGAATAGAAATCCTCAAACTAGGCTGGGCAAGGTGGCTCAGGCCTGTAATCCTAGCACTTTGGGA